TTATAGTGCGGCAGTAAAAAATAAGAAGAAAGAAAGCATCTTAACTGTCCAACCATTAAAGGAACAAGAGAGTGAAACTACCAAGAAATTAGTAAAAGAAAAAGTAGATATAAAGAAGATGGAGGTAGGAATAACAAAGCTGAGGAAAGGAAGTAAAGATTCATTCTGAGATGTGAGAGCGAGGGAGAAATGGAAAAACTGAAAGATACAGTACGCGAGAAGCTAGGTGAAGACTTCAAGATCACAGAACCGAAAAAAATAAGACCGAAAATAAAAGTTGTAAATGTTGGAGAAGAAGAAATACAGTTGAAAGATGAAATCTTAATTGATATGATCAAGAAGCAGAATACAATCGACGGCAGAGAAGATGAAGAATTTGGCATAAAAATTGTGAAGAGAATTGTTGAGGGCGATTCTTTAATACTAAAAGTAGATGAAATGACTCATGAGCTAATGCTAAGAAGAGAGAAAATAAATATCGGATGGAGGAAGTGTCGTATGTTCAATCATTACAGTGTTAAGAGATGTTTTAAAGGCTGAGGTTACTACCATATTGCTAAAAATTGTAAGCGGCAGGAAACATGTCATAAATGTGCTGGGAATCACAGAGCAGGCGAAAAAGATGTGTAAATTGTATGCACAAGAGTAAAACATACAATTTAAAGATAAATGACGAACACGATGCTTTAAGTAGAAAATGTCCGACTTTCATCAGAGCGCTGGAGGAGGAGAAGAAGAGAACTGGCTGGGAATCTACTAAATAGCAATCACGGAAGGAGTCAATTGTATATACGAATACGCAAAATTTTATGGTGTACAAAGATGAAATTCAAGATTACATGAAGGGGATGAATCTGGCAATCATGGCGTTATCGGAGACTAAACTCGTCCCGGAAATCGAAGGTAGTGAATTAAATGTGTCGGGATATGATTTAGTTAGATGCGATGAAAACAGAAACACAGGAGGCGTTGTGATTTATATAAGAAAGGATATCAAATCAGGTAATAGCGAAGAAGAAGATAGAATCTAACTGCTGGTGCGTTGCGGTTGAGATGAGAGATAATATATACAAAGGCGTAATTATAGTTGTGTACCATTCACCGAGTGCTTCAGATGGCGATTTTATAAAATTTCTAGAGGATATAGTGGATATAGGATATAGTATAGAGGAGGATATAGTCTTCTAGTAACGAAAGGTCAATGTATTATGCTAGGTGACTTTAATATAGATGTATTATGCTAGGTGACTTTAATATAGATTTAATGATGGATTGTTTTATGTGAAAAAACTAATAAATGAAATGTTATGCTTGGGCATGAAGCAATATGTAGATAAGCCGACGAGGATCACAAAAAACAGTCAAACTTTGATAGATTTAGTTTTCGCAAATACCAAGATAAACTGTAAAGTATACGATAAGCCAAAAGTATCAGATCATTTATGGATAAGCGTTGAAATTAATATAAGTAATAATAAAGTAAAATATAGAGAATTTATTAGTAGGGATTTCAGCAAATTTCAAATAAATGAATTTTTATACGAAATAGGAAAAAGTTTGGAACAAAGAGGTAATTTAGAGATAAATGAAAGAGCAGAGAAGTTTGTTCAGAATATGGTAGCGGCATATCATAGCACCAAAGAAAAAGTTTAAAATTCCAAAGTTATGGGAAGGGAAAAAATGGTATTCGGATGATATAAGATTAGCTACAAATAAAAGAGATGAAGCATATGTGAGGGCGATATATACATGCAATGAACAAGATTGGCTGCAGTTCAAAATTGAAAGAAATACGGTAGTTAAATTAATTATAAATTAATTATAAAAAAAAGAATACTATGAAAAAATGATAGATGATAATAAAAATGATCCTGTTCTAATGTGGAAAACCTTAAAAGAAGTCATAAGAGGAGAGACTATGGGTTCAAGAGAAATTAATATTATAATATAGATTTTGAAATATTAGAGAATGTAGGAGAATGTACTTTAGCGAATAAATGTAATATATTTTATATACAGAGTATTGAGGAAATAATAGAATCTATAAGAAAAAATGACAGTAAAAAGTACAAAAACTTTACTTTGTTATAGAAAACAGAGGCATAATTGAAAATTTTGAATGCATAAATGTACAGAAATTAGAAAAAATTGTTATGGCATTGCCACAGAAGAAGGGAACAGATGAGGAGATATCTAGCGATATATTAAAAATAAGTTTTCAAGTGATAAAAGATGAACTATTAAGAGAAATAAATGAGTCATTAACAAATGGTATATGACCGGAGGAAAACATCTACGATAATACCGATTCCTAAGATAAAAAAACCAAAGAAAGCCTGTGAATATAGACCAATTAATATATTACCAATTTATGAGAAGGTTTTAAAATTAGTTGTAAAGGAACAAATTAAAAAGTACTTGCATAATACTTGCATAACGATATTATAACAGAACATCAGTCGGGATTTAGAAAATATCATTCATGCGAAACAGCGATACAAAGTATCATTGATGATTGGAAGTTGATAATTAGTGAGGGAAAAATGATAGAAGTAATATTCTCGCACTTAAAACGGGCATTTGAAACGATAGATAGAAAAAGATTATGGGAAAATTAGATCAATATGGAATGAGAGAGATGGTATTAGAGTGGTTTAAATCATATCTAAGCAATAGAACAACAAGTTAGATTTAATAATCAATGATCAAAGTGTATCAAAACGGAATATGGAGTTTCACAAGGATCGGTACTAGGGCCTTTGCTGTTTATAGTTTATATAAACGATTTAGTGGAATTTTGTCCAGAAGAATGCAATATAAAAATGTTTGCAGATGATACATTAGTATATGTAAGTGGGGAAAGTAGTGTGGAATTAGAGAGGAAAATGAACATGGTACTTAGCATAGTAGAAGAATGGATGAATGTAAATAAATTGAAAATGAATACAAATAAAACAAAATATAAACATGATATAAACATGATAATCAGAAGTGTAAGAAAGGAGCAAAACGTAATATTACATTGAGATGCTCGGACGTAATTAAGTTGGAACGCGTCGAAAAAATAAAATATCTTGGCGTAATTATCGATGATAAGCTCCAATTTAAAGATCACTGTGATTATATGCTAAAGAAAATAGGAAAAAAGACTAGTTTCTTAAATAGAATAGGTAATTTCATATCAGCGTATGCTAGATGTATTGTACATAAGTCGATCATAGCACCTCACTTTGAGTACTGTGCTACGCTATTAGTTGGAATGGGAGAAACGCAATTGAGCAAACTTCAAGTAGCCCAAAACCGTGTCATGAGAGTTATTTTGCAATGCAATAGATATATCAAAGTTGAGGACATGCTGCAGGCATTACAGTTTATGTCCATAAGGCAACGATTATATTATAATGTGGGGATATTTATTTCTAAAATTTTAAATAACATGGCACCGATGGCGTTAAGTAATAGATTAGAAATAGTGGGAAGTGAACGTGATAGACAAACGAGACAGGCCGGAAACATTGTATTAATATTTCGTAAAATTAGAAGTGCGCAAAAGAATCTGTTTTACGAAGAAATAAAAATATACAGTTCTTTGTCAACCGAGATAAAGCAGTGCGTAAAAATTGAATCGTTTAAGAGAATGTTGAAAGTATATATGGTAAATAGTGTATAATAATTATGTATACCAGGTGTATGCATAAGTTTTTTCCGGTTTTTAGTAAAAAAGACACGTAATTTTCAAGGGAAATTAATTTTTTTTATTCAAAATATTGGCCATCGGCTTCTACACATTTCGCCCATCTTTCAGATAATTTATGAATACCATGCCAGAAAAACTGCTTGTTTTTTGCGGCAAACCATTCGTCGCCATTTTCCAACTTCTTCGAAATTGCTGAAGTGCTGCTCTGCGAGCGCGTGCCCCATTGATGCGAAGAGGTGATAGTCAGATGGCGCCAAGTCTGGGGAGTACGACGGGTGCGGAAGGATGTCCCATCCAAGCGATTTCAAGGTGTCTTTCATTGGTTTTGCTATGTGAGACGGCGCATTGTCGTGTAACAAAATCACTTTGGCATGTCTTCTGGCCCATTCCGGTCGTCTTTCGATTAATGCGTGGTTAAATTAATCATTTGTTGGCGATAGCGTTGTGTATTAACGGTTTCGCCGGGCTTCAAGAATTCATAATACGCAATACCGCTCTGGTCCCACCAGACACAGAGCATGGTCTTCTTGTCGAAGCGATTTGGCCTTGGTGTTGATGGACCGGCTTCGCCAGGTGAAAGCCATGATTTTTTCCGCTTCGGGCTTTCAAATAAATCCATTTTTCGTCACCCGTCACAATTCGATACAAAAATGATTTCCTTTCGTGGCGTTGAAGCAGCATTTCACAAGTGACTTTGCGATTTTCTATTTGATGTTCATTCAAATCGTGTGGGACCCATTTACCGAGTTTATTGAGCTTTCCCATTGCTCGTAAACGTCTGCTGATTGTTTCTTGTGATACATGTAATGCTTCTGCTAATTGCCGTTGAGTTTGAGTTGGAT